TTTTTTTTTTTTTTTTGGGTGGAACTGGGGATTGAACTCAGGCCCTTGCACTTGCCAGGCAAGTGCTTCATCCACTGAGCCATCTCCCCGGCCCCCATACATTTTTTTAAATGAAGTAATTTAAACTTTAATTTTTATCCCTCAGTGGAAGATAATTTTCAATTTTTTAATACCTGCTTAATATTTTTTAGTTTCCATAATGAATATATTACTTCTAGAATCAGATATACTCATACGTACAAAATCATACATACACACACACACACACACACACACACACACACACACACACCCCAAAATGGAACTAGTTCTTACCATGGCCTGCATATGGTTTGGCACTGTCATTTAGAAGGCTTGGAGAGCTGCTACTATTAGTCATCCTCTGAAAAATAAAATTTGGATACATGATATCACTGAGAAATACAGAATTAAAAGTAGTCAATCAGTTAAGATTGATATTCTTTGCTTTTATATTATTAACAAATGAATATTCCTGTACACTATGCTGCTTGGTTTCCAACTATCTATAAAAACCTTCAAACACTGCAATACATCAAATAAAAGTTTTATTCACTACCCAGGTGTTTAAAAGCAAAGATGCAGGCCTATTTTGAATCACACTTCCTACCTTTATGACCCTGAACAAAACATAACCACTAGGTTTCCTTGTTCATAAAATATATATACCAATATCTATCTAACAGGATATAAAATGACTGTATAAAGTCAATAAATGCTCTAATATACTTTCCCAATTTGATTATCCTTCATACACCTTAGAGAACTCATATTTTCTGTTTACACTTAAATATATCCACTGCTTTCTGGACTCTTCGTTTTATGGCCTCAAATGTCTAAGTTAGTGATGCTGATCTCTGGCTTAGTTCTATAATCCCAAATTTAATAACTCAACTTCTGTTCAGTTTCTGCATAAATTTTGAAAAGGGAACATAGGGGCTGGGGATTTAGCTTAGTGGTAGAATGTTTGACTACCAAACTGGAAGCCCTGGGTTCATCCTTAGTACCAAAAACAAAAAATAAGCCTCAACTAAAAAAGAGGAGAATAGTAAACTCTAAGTTCTTGAAATGATTTTAATACTAAAATAAATATGTATCAGGGCCGGGGAGATGGTTCAGTAGAATAAGCGCTTCCCTGGCAAGAGCAAGGGCCTAAGTTCAATCCCTGGTTCCACAAAAAAAAAAAAAGAAAAAGAAAAATCGTCTCACTTGAATTTGTAGACAATAAAAAGGTATAACAACATATTAAGTTGAATTATTCATTCAAAAAAGCTATGTATATGGCAGCTGTGTGTTTAATTGAATCTTAGAATACAAATGACCCTTACTTTTAAGGGAGTTTCCCAACTAACAGAATATTTCCCAATATTATCCCAACTGTACAAAATTTTGCCACATCAACCTACAAAAATAATGTAAACAAAAATGTCCTCAGTATAGCACATGACAGAGAAAGAGTCATTTACAAAAAAAGGGGGGGTTAAAAAAATTCAGACATTTCATGGGTTGAGGTAGCTCAGCAGTCTAAGCACCTGCCTGGCATGTTCAAGAACCTGGGTTCGGTCTCCAGTACCACATGCCATGCCAGCCCTGCACCGGGCTAGACACAGAAACAGAGCGTAGTGGCGCACACCTGTAATCCCAGTGCTGGGGAAGCTGAGAAAGGAGGATCACTACGAATGTCAGCTGTGTAGTGAGACCTTGTTCCAAATAAATAAATAAATGTTTAAAAATTCAGACATTTTAAATATGCAACATCCCTCAATTACCTGGCATGGTGGTACATTCCTATAACCCCAGCACTTAGGAGGCTAAGGCAGGAAAATCACTGTGAGCCTAAGACCAGACTATGCTACACTGTAAATTTAAAGTGAGACTGTCTTAACAGGGAAAAAGGAAAATTCCTCAATAGTGTAGCTTTAAATTTAATATTAAACATTAAATAAAACAAATCCAACTATATACTTCTATATGCAAAGAATATTTCTAAAGGAAAGCCCAAGACAATGGTATCAATAATGGTAGCTATTGCCAGGAAGGTTAATGACATGTGTGGTGATCACAGATAGAAAGGAGACTTTTTATAGGTTTTATAACACATTGTGTTATCTACTAAAACAAACAAACAAACAAACAAAAAATCCTACTACCATCACTACCAAGTTGAAGTGACAAAGCAGACAGATAGGTAGAACTAGTTTCTATCTCCCCGCTATTACTCCAGAGTCATGCCTCCTCCAATGTCCACTCTCAAGAGCTCTGACTCTAGTGTTTTGCTTCACCTATGATCACAACCATCTCACACAACTTAAAATATCACTTTCCACTCAAACAGTTTAGGAATGATTGGGGCTGGTGAGATGGCTCAGTGGTCTAAAGCACCTACTTAGAACAAGCTTAGCAAAGCATAGGGACTGCGGTTCAATCCCCAGCACCACATGCCAGCCAGCCCCGCCCCCTGGTGGGCTGAGCTGCCCCCCCCCACACACACACACAAATAAATAAAATTAAAAAAAGAATGACTTAACTCTCTAGTTATCTCCTGTGCCTGGAATAAACTTGACTTTGCTAACAGTACAACATAAATTTATACTGGTAATACCTGCATCAAGGGATACTTTGTTTCTACTGGGCTTCCAAATCCATTGACTCCAATAAAGCTGGTGCTGAAATAGGAATCTGTGAGACTTGTATCAGTTAAAGCACCTCCATCCATTCCAGAAACTGAAAGAGAAGGAAAATTCATGTACTTAAAAATTATTTAAGAGGAAAACACTGGCTTGGCTTGTGTTTCTAAATAAGTTTAAATGTCTCAAATCTCTGTCACATTTATTTTTATATAGTAGTCAAAACTCAGGTCAAGAGCCAGTAAGACTTGCTGACTTTAAAAGCCTGCTAACAATGATCATGTTTCTCCCACAGAAATATTTTATATCTATCACCTAATGCACCATTAAGGATCACTCTTGTTGGGCCGGGGAGGTGGCTCAGTGGAATAAGCGCTTCCCTGGCAAGCACAAGGGCCTGAGTTCAATCTCCAGCTCCACCAAAAAAAAAAAAAAAAGGATCACTCTTGTGTTTCTAGTTTATCAAGTTTTCTTTCTATTACTTAGTAGGACTGCAGAATATACACAATTTCTACTGAGAATCACAAGATGGTAAACAGAGGCACACTTATCAAGACTGGTTCTCCCAACATTATCTTGTAAAGCAGACTGGTATTCCCCTACTAACTCAGAATTTAAGGAAAAACTGGGGCCAGTGAGATAGCTCAGTGGTCTAACGTACCTGCTTAGGCAAGCTCATCCAGCCACAGGGGATGGCAATTTGATCCCCAGCACCAATCCCTAGCATGCCAAGCCAGCCGGCCAAAAACAAAAAAGAATTTAAGGAATAGTATATAGACTACAGTGAGATAGAGGTCAGGAATAATAAACACTCTCTAGCAGCCTTAGAGTAGGGGAACAGTATATAGACTACAGTGAGATAGAGGTCAGGAATAATAAACACTCTCTAGCAGCCTTAGAGTAGGGGACAGAAGAGCATACAACAAAACACAGGACCAGGTAGTCCTGATGCTACTTACTGTGTGGCACTTGACATGCAGCAACTTTCTTTCTAAGCTGCTAAGTACAAAGCCCTACATTTTACCCTTAAGTCATGCTGCAAGTAGGACTGCTCTTCTCTAGGGAGAGTCACTCCTCCCTGCACTCCCAACTAAAAACATCTAAGAAAAAGTATTGATACACAGGTGTATGGTCTTCCAGAAAAGCAATCTTAAGTAATTTTTCTTTTTTTTGTAATTTCCCAAACTGTCCAAAATTAAATATTATTTCTATGATTATAGAAGGATTCCTTTCTAATGGTTTATACCTTAGCATTACAAACTCAGATGTAGCTAAAGAAAACCAAAAGCACTAAAAATTCATATATGAAGTTGTTCATCAAAGTGATTTATAAAGAACATAAAAGAATTATTTTAAAGAAATTAAAACAATTTGCTGCAACAAGAAAATGATTAGCGGCCGGCCAGATAGCTCAGTGGTTAAAGTGCCTGCTTAGGCAAAGTGCAGCAGCAAGGGTTCAATCCCTAGCATGCCAAGCTGGCCCTGCCCCCAAGGCACGCTGAGATGGTGACTGAGACCGGGTGTGGTGGCCTGAGCCTATAATCCCAGCAATTGGGAGGCTGAAAACAGGAGGATCACTAAGAGTCTGATCTGTATAGTGAGACCCTGGAGACCCTGTACCAAATACATTTAAAAAAAGAAAATTATTAAGTAAATTTTAATGTATACACTGAAATTTAACTGAAATAACTTGAATCATAGTAATTCAAGATTAATCATGGTTAGGATTTAAAATATTCCACCAAAATGGTACAGAACTGGGAAGAGAAAGTAAGACTGACAAAGTACAAAGTATTGTTAAAGCTAGGCATAAAGTAATCATTTTGCTAGCATTTCTGTTAGTTTCATAGTTTAAATTTTTCTATAATAAAATATTATACAGGGACCAGTGAGATAACTCAGCGGACTAAAGCACTTGCTTAGGCAAGTGTAGGCAAGCACAGGGACCGCCATTCCATCCCAGCACCACGTGATACACCAGCACTGCCCTGAGAGCAGGCTGAGCCCACCAGAGTCCAGGCACAGTGGCACACACCTGTAAACCCAGTGCTGGGGAAGCTGAAAGCAGGAGAATTACCAAAAGTCCCAGCTGCATAGTGCGACCCTATAACAACCAATCTGAGTGTGGTGCCAGACACCTGTATCTCGCAAGTTCTCAAGACCAGCCTTAGTTACAAAGTGAGCTCCATGATGATGTAGAGTGTGCCTAAGGAGAGTCACATGGAGAGAAAACTTTCTCTCAGGCTTTCACAGAGAGCACATTGGCCAAGCAATGGCCGTGACTCATCCACATGGCTAACAATGACAAAGGTTCTACAATCTGAGGTAAAGGATCTCAGAAGAAATCCTGAGGGGATTTCACTGACCTTATCAGACCCAAAAGCTACAACTCTCGTTGCATAGGTCTTGCATTATCTTGGTCTTAACCATCCAGCAGAAAAGTATAAAAACGAAGTATAAGAAGTAAAGCCATGCTGTTATGTTGAGCTGTAGGGGACTTAGGTCAACAATTTCTGACAATGCCAGTGAAGTGGAAGACCCAATACTATTATGAACTACTGGACTCTTTTAGAATATTTTGCTGAGTTAACACACCTATAATATTCAAATGACGGAACTAAACAAAAAAGGGGATACAGATAAATGTCCATTTTGTATCTGTGTATTCAAAATGGTTGGGATAGATATATAGTCACATTCTCTTAATGAATAGAGGGATTTGGTCTTGTTTGTTTGTTTTTGGCAGGACCGGGGATTGAACTCAGGCTCTTGTGCTTGCCAGGCAAGCGCTTATTCTACTGAACCATCTCCCCAGCCCCATAGAGGGATTTGTTGTAATAGTGTTTGTAAATAGGATATCATGTCTGCATCTTGTACAGCAAATAACCACTAGGAAGAGAGTATGCAATGTGTTAATTATTGAAACTGTCCTACCAATTTGTTTTGAAACTGTCTTATTGCTATTTGTTTCTCAATAAAATTATGGGGAAAAAAATTTTTTTTAAAAAACCACAAAAAAACAAAGTGAGCTCCAGACTAAACTGTATAGAAAAACTATCTCAAAAAAAGGTGGAAAAAAGATTATAGAATATACAGCTAAGAAAGATTAAATGATTCTGTATGCTACTATAACCAAAATATAACTTTCATCTTTATATCCAGTTCCTGGTACAAACCTCTGAAAACTCTTGAAGCTTCCTAAGTGGCTAGGGTGCTGACCCTGGTTCCTGACAAGGCTAATCCTCAGAAATCGCTTAATATTTCCTGGGTGACAGGAGTGTCTTTTATCCTAAAGTAAATGGTTTTTCTGAGGATTTCTAGATGGCAGCTGGTCACCTGAGAATTCAAGCCATTATTATAAGCTTGAAGGCTTTACCTCTCATTCCCTTCAGGGAGAGAGGCTAGAGGTTTATTTAGTAATCTAGGTTACTAGACCACAACTCCATACAAAGAGAAGCTCCTGTGCTCTGGATCCTTCCATATCTCACAGTACCCTTTATCTGGCTACTCTGTTTCCTTTATAACAAACAAGTAAATATGTTTCCCTAAATTTTGTGAGCCACTGCAACAAAAAACCTAGTGGTGGGGGCTGCAGATACCCAAGTGAGTAGCTGAAAGTATAAAGCTTGACATCTTTCCCTCTTTTATGTTTTGGGGGGCATCTTCTTTATTCTCAAACTTTACATCAGATCCTCATGTTCAGTTTTGCACCCTGGAGTACAGTAAGAGTGTCTGAGTTAGAAGGTTTATTGTCTCAATCTTATCTACCTATCCATCACACATCAACTTGCCTTCAAGACCAACATCAAGGCAAAAGTATGTGAAAGTTGGGTGTAATGGCACATATTTATAGTCCAAGAACCCTTGGAAGTTAAGGCAAGAGGATTTTAAGTCATGAACCCCAGTTGAGCAATTAATGACTCAAAAAGATCGTCTCAAAATAAAAATTTTTATAAAAAGGGCTGGCAATTTAGCTCAGTGCAAAGAGAGTCTTAGTACTGGAGGTGTACATGAGGGGTCAAGTATATAGATGTCCCTCAAAAAACTTAAAATTGCTAAACAATCCACCATTCCCATTCCTGGACATATATCTGAAGAAAATAAGATTTGTATCTTGAACAGTTAAAAAAAAACAAAAAACAGGAAAGGAAAAAGTAATTAATTTTCAGAATTTGCAAGGACAGCCATCCAATTGCCACCTTTTTACAACATCCATTTCTGAAGCAATCCTCAGTATTCTTCAAATATAAACATGCACTCTCTACAACTCCAGGAAAAGCAGAACCTCACAGATCAAGCTATGACCAAGTCACCTCCCCAACAGAATCAAACACTCCAGCATGGGAACAAAGGCTGCCCCCTGCACAAAAACAAGCACCTCCCTCTTGGGAACTGACCTGCCCCTACAGAATTCTTCAGGAGCTAGGAAACTGGGACTGCCACAATAATCCACTATAAAAGTCAAGACTGACACAATGATTAAATACCACCCCATAAAAACTGATCTTTTTTTTGTTTTGTTTTGTTTTAAATGTATTTGGTTGTTAAAAGGTCTCAATACGCAGCTCAGGCTCATAATGATGCTCCTGTTTTCAGCCTCCCCAGCTCTGGGATTACAGGCACAGCCACTAGCCCAGACTCTGTGGCTGGCTCAGCCCACCCTGTGGCAGGGCTGGTATGGCATGTGGTACAGGGGATCAAACCACAGTCCCCGCACTTGCCCAAGCTTGTCTAAGCAGGCACTTTAGTCTGTTGAGCTATCTTGTCAGCCTCATGGTCCTATTCTTATGAATGGGATAGTCTGATCCTCTTCAGATCTGTGCCCTCAAGTTTAAATCCCTTTCCTATTTTCTCTTAATTACCTTTGTTACGTGCCCACCTTGATTTTGTAAACTCCAGCAAAGGTCTTTTACCATTTTCTCATACTTTCCAACTAAAATTCTCACCTTAAGTTTCAGTTTTAACATTTACTGTCACTGAACACCAGCATAGCAAATTATCAATATCAAAGGAAGAGGGTTGAAAACCCCCAATTTGCACCATGTCAGACAGAAATATAGATCATACAGAGACCCACTACTTGCATTAGATGTCTGA